CTTACGCTATAAAATTAGTTACTGTGGCACTGGTGGGCTGTAAGGAAATTTTACCATCAACAAAGATTCAAAAGTGGGTGGTAGGTATTAAAAGGTTGAATACCCCTGCACTAGCTGGATACTAGCTGGATTTAGTGACAGAGCACACGGTCAGATACAAAATTCCCTTCCCTTACATACCATAGGAGGACTGCTGCTTTTTTTATACATCTCTGAGCACTTTCACTGAACAGTGTGTTTGGATAAACTTTTATTTTATCTGCTAATAGAAAACTTGATCTTACATTTTATGTTTTATTGGTGTTTTTATGTTGTATGCTTAAATGCATACTATTTATTTTAGCACTGACAGTGTTTTTTTCCCCCAATTGAGATTTTTATTGAATTTATGTACATAAAAGAGGTGGGATACAGAAGAAAAAGAAAGGGGGCAGCAGCATCACTTGACAATTCATTTTACACAACTGATTTTTAATACCATGTTGTTTCACAAGGTTGTCTTCACCAGGAACTAGACAAAAAGCCAACTATACTCACTTGTGTTTATTTACACACACACACATCTATCCTCTCTTATAAGCATCCTCACTGATACGCTTACTCATACACACATAGTGCTCTATATTTTCACAATGTTCAAGGTGAAATGGTGGAGGTGTGACGAAGGACGGGTAAGGGTGATCATTTGAACCCCATATTCTTTAGCATAACCTTTTGCTTCCCCACCATGCCATATAGTGGTTGCACTATCGCTTGGTAATCGATAGTTAGTGATCTCACATGATTGAATGGACGGTTAGTGTGAACTTAAATTAATACAATTTACATTGTGGTGGGTACTATGCATTGGGACATAGCTCAGTACAGGAGCCTTTCTCAGAGGATCAGATTTAGTATTCCCATTAGGATGGACACTGCATGTTCAACCCCAGACCCCATTTCCCAACCAGACAGGCCCATAATTATGTTGTATAAGAAGTTGATACATACTCCCTAGTTAGATGTACTCATTTGTAGGTTTAACAGTAATACAATAGGAAGAAGAAAATCAGCACTAAATTGCCACACAAGAAAATAATAATGATAATAAGGCTGCACTCCTCAAAGGGGAGTCCCCTATAATCCCCTGGTGATAAGAAGAAATACAAAAACAGAACAGTAAAATAAGGTTGCGCCTAAAATATATAATAAAACATATAAAATATATAAACTTTTATATAAAATATTAATATAAAATAAGTAATTGGCAGTAGTCCAAAACACTTATCATAAGTCCATAATGGTAGGTGCTACGTATGGAAACAGGGATTCTTGAGATGTAAAATGAAAGTGAGTCTTCACGATTATGTGCTTGGGATCCAGTAGAGCATATGTAGAAAAAAGACAGAAACAGGACTCCAATGGCATAGTATATGGATGAATAAAATAATATAATAAAATAAAAATAGTCTTACTCATACTTTTCAGAGCTAAAACCTAGCTCTGATATTGCGCACGTGAAGTGGAATAATCCCCACTCAAGGATATGCGGAGTGATATTTGATTGACGAATATCTGGCTCAAATTCGGCGTCCGAATTAGTGTTATTCGACCCAGAAAAAAAGAATAAAATATAGTGCTCTCTGTATAGTAATTAAAAGTTGTAAAAGAGTGTAAAATATACTACTCACATTATTTAGAGCAGGCTTGTACTGCTCGATGTAAGCGCTTGGGTGGTATAATCCCCACCTATGGATTCTTTAGGCTTCTTGTAAAATATGCAGTATGTGTATAGTCAGGTGAAAAAAGAAAAAAAATGGCAATAAAGTATTTTATTCCAAAATAATTTCTTTATTATAAAGTAGTAAAAATAATAGTAGTACAGTAGCAAATTATTTGCAATACATGGTTAGTTAGTTCGCCCCCGATCGCCACGTGTCCACCAAAGACCAAGCCTCATTGACCACCTTTAAAGTGAAGCCCAGCTAATAAATTCGTTGTCTGTCTATATCCGTTATCAATGCAGGCAGCATCGGAGGTGCGGGGTACTTCCAGGCTCTCCTTATTAGTCTCTGAGCCGTAAGAATAATCTGAGTAATCATCTTTTGCGTGGAGTTAGTGATATGCGTAGGTAGATCTAAAATAGGTTTGTGATGGCTTAACTTAAAGGAACTCTATAGGGTCAGGAACACAAACATGTATTCCTGACACTATATAGTTAAACCCACCATTAAGGTGGCTTGCTCCCCCTTAATAGAAATTAAAACTCACCTTATTTCCAGCGCCATGTGGGTCCACTGGATCTTGCCCCGTCCCCTTGGTGACATCAGAATTGCAGATTGGCTAAAATCGGCAAGGGGAAGGGGCCAAACACTTTTTGGCCAATCAGCATCTCCTCATAGAGATGCATTGAAGTGTTCCCATGCAGAGCGACTTGCTGAACAGCAGTGCTGTGGAGAGGCCACTTGGAGGTGTCCCTTGGTGCAATTTCTCTGAAAAGGCAGTGTTTGCATGAAAGTGCCGGCATATAATGATTATACTCAACAACTACATTTAAGGAGCACTATATTCAACATATATAAGCAATAAAGACAGGTCCTCAGCCTTCTTTCTTGCTTTTATATGAACTTCCCATTAAAGAAAAAAAAAATCTGAGTCGTTTTTATGATATAAACTTACCTCCGTTCCAGCGCTGAGCTCCTCGGCAGGCCGCGTCCCCTTTTTAGTCAAAATGACGATGCAGCAGGGCTCAATCAGACGCTTCTCTTAGAGAAGAGTCTTAGTGACCAGGTGCGCATGCGCGGCTTTTTATAGAGCGGCATTGAATCCCTATGAATCAACACTGAGCACTCTACCGCGCATGTGCGCAGTATACGCGTTTGCAAGCTGAGCTGTCTATGCCCGCCCCCCTCCTACGTCAACCCTCCTAAGCAAAAGTTTGTATGTTTCTATAGAAAAACTATATATAGAGATAAATCTCTCTATATAGTGTTTGTATAAAAACACACAAATTTAAAATAAATATTGTTAAACATACACACACTCCCTCTCTCACACTCCCTGTCTCTCACTCTCAATTTTTTAAATAAGTGTACTTACTGTTTGAAGTCAGGAGATCTCTGCAACTGGAGGTGTTCCTAGGTTCTAATGTAAACACTGTATTTTCTTTGAAAATTCAGTGTTTACATGAGAAAGGCTGCAGGGAGCTATAGTTCTCACCTGAACAACTTCAGCTTAATGAAGTTGTTCAGGTGACTATAGTGTCCCTTTAAGGGATTTTGTTACGCCTGAGTTATGAGCAATGCCACCACATGTGGATCATTGTGCCTACATCTCTGTTGCATCTCCAACATACTGATGAAGTATGTGGAAACATGTTATTCAATTTAACTGACACCAAGTACTATCTATAAAGAGCTTTGTGGTGTTGCTACGTGGTGAGATGTGAACTTTATTAGGCCAGCTGGGGCATTAATCATATGTTCCCACTTAGTATGAGGAATGGAGCAATGAAATGTGGTTTCCCATGGTTTAGTGTAAATGGATTTACACACATTTACAGCTAATTACTAAGGGCACATTTCCAATGTTTTTCGGTTTTGCTGACAAACCACCAACAGTTAAAATGTGTTAAATTAGTGACTAGGGCCTGTTTCCATACTAGAAAATCTTGCCAATTGTGTTTAATAATACCCAATAACAAAGGTTTAAAATGAGAGCTGACACTTCTGTTGAATTGACACTGTACATCACTGTCCTGATTGCCCTGGACAGCCTGGACCAGGCCCGGACTGGCCATCGGGCACACCGGGCAAATGCCCGGTGGGCCGCGGTGGCCATGGGCCGAGGCCGGCAGGGGAGGTCCCAGGATCTCCCCTGCCGGTCTATGCAGGGCCGGCACTCTCCCAGCGCCGGCCCCGCTTTGTGCCACGACGGGCCGGTGGGGAGATCAAGGATCTCCCTGACCGGCCCACATGCGGCCGCCGGCGGGGAGGGAGGGAGACAGCCAGCCAGGCTGGAGAGAGGACTCGGCGGAGCTCTAACTTGCACCTCCGCCGGGTTCCTCTCGCGAGATCTGGCGCGTTGCCATGGCAACGACCGGATCTCGCGAGAGTGAACTCTAGCCTCACAGGCTAGAGTTCACTCACCCACGAGGACCACCAGGGAACACCGCCACCCCGCCTGCCATTCCCAGCGTGCCGGTCCCCCCCCCTCCCAGGCTAAAGGTAAGAAGGGAGGGGGGGACATAATGTCTGTTTTTTTATTTTTTATTTACCCCCCCCTACACACACACAATAACATTTATACAGCACTCTCACACCCATCACACACAGCACTCTCACACCCATCACACTCACAGCACTCTCTCACACAGCACTTTCTCACAGAGCACTCTCACACACACAGCACTCTCTCACACAGCACTCTCACACCCATCACACACAGCACTCTCACAGAGCACACTCACAGCACTTTCACACACAGCACTTTCACACACAGCACTCTCTCACAGAGCACTCACACACACACAGCACTCTCTCACACAGCACTCTCACACCCATCACACACAGCACTCTCACAGAGCACTCTCACACACTCACAGCACTCTCTCACACAGCACTCTCACACCCATCACACTCACACCCATCACACTCACAGCACTTTCACACACACAGCACTCTCTCACAGAGCACTCTCACACACACACAGCACTCTCTCACACAGCACTCTCACACCCATCACACACAGCACTCTCACAGAGCACTCTCACACACACAGCATTCTCTCACACAGCACTCTCACACCCATCACACTCACAGCACTCTCACAGAGCACTCTCACACACACACAGCACTCTCTCACACAGCACTCTCACACCCATCTCACACAGGGCACTCTCACACGGCACTCTCACACCCATCACTCACACCGCACCCTCACACACACACATACTGCATCCCTCACATACACACAGAACCCCCCCAACACACTGCACCACACACATACACAATACTTCCAAATATATATATATATATGTGTGTGTGTGTGTGTGTGTGTGTGTATATATATATACACACACACACACACACACACACACACACAACACTCTTAAAGGACCACTCTAGCCACCCAGAACACTTCAGCTTAATGAAGTGGTCTTGGTGCTAGGTCCTTCTAGGGTTAACCCATTGTTTTATAAACATAGCAGTTTCAGAGAAACTGCTATGTTTATCAATGGGTTAAGCCTTCCCCCAAAGCCTCTAGCAGCTGTCTCATTGACCGCCGCTAGAGGCGCTTGCGTGCTTTGCACGCAAGCGTCCATAGGAAAGCATTATAAATGCTTTCCTATGCGACCGGCTGAATGCGAGCGCAGCTCTTGCTGCGCGTGCGCATTCAGCCGACGGGGCGGATCGGAGGAGGAGAGCTCCCCGCCCGGCGCTGGAAAAAGGTAAGTTTTAACCCCTTTCCAGAGCCGGGCGGGAGGGGGTCCCTGAGCCACATATGCATCACATTACACCACAAACACAACACGACTAAAACCGACCTTATTACACAATACCACACCACGACCAGCTCACTCTACACACACGCAATACCACAAGCAGGCTCCAAACACATGCACAATACTCTTTCCTGGCCTTTTGTCTCCTGGTATCCATTTATAGAGACACCAGAGACAAGTTGCAAGGAAACACAGTGCAAGCATGTTATTAAATTTGCTTGCACTGTGCAGAACAAATACAGGACTTTTTTCTCATGCTAGAGCTCTTCAGCAGAGCTCTGCGCATGGTCTGCCCTGGAAGAGCATTGAACCAACATGCTCACTTTGAGAGGAGGCGTGTTTGTCATTGGTGATGACAAAACACACCTCCTATGCCCCGCCCCCTTTTTAGTGGGCCGCTGTGTTAAAAAAATGCCCGGGCCGAATTTTTCTCCCAGTCCGGCCCTGGCCTGAACATAGCATTGGGGACTGCTTCAAATGATACCACACACTGGTCCATTTTTAAAAAATTTTTTCACGTTTGCCATTTAGCTTTTTTTTGGTTACGTTTACCCTATGTATGGGGGGCATGGGTGTACTCAGGAGGCCTTGTAGAAAACAACCTGGAGTGTGTTCTTGCAATAACCAACAGGCTTTCCTAAATCACAGTCAAAAAGCAATGTGTGCGTAAAAATGAAAATTGAAAAATTATCACCACACACATTGTGAAATTTGTTTGAGCTAAAACACTTGCATCAAAGGCATTGAAGCACTCCATATACACTACCTCGGGGTGTCTACGTTTCAAATATATACACTCTCATGGCAATAAATAAAACTGGGGTGCGTGATAAGCGCCAAGCTAAAGATAGGCCTCTCAGACGACATACTCTCAATTTCAACTCAAATTACAAGTCATACAATTGTAAGTGAACCTTCCAAAAATCCTGGAAAACCTATGCATGGGGGGCATGGTTGTACTCAGGAGGCCTTGCAGAAAACAACCTGTGAGTGTTTTCTTGCAATAATCAACAACAGGCTCCTCTAAATCAAATATAGATGTGTGTATAAAAATGAACATGGAAAAATTACCACCACACATTTTCTCCAATTTTTTTTTACTAAAACGATTGCATCAAAGGCATCAAAACACTACCGTGGTGTGTCAACTTTTCAAATATATGCACGCTCATGGCAAGAAAATAAATTGAGATATCTAAAAAGGCCCCCAAAAAGAAGATAGGCAAAGAAGATGTGTCAAATTTGAAAAACACATGTCCGATGTTTGGCATTGCACCCCCAAAACAACACAACAAACCTATGCATAGGTGGTATCACTGTACGCAGGAGATGTTGCTGAACACATATTGGGGTGTTCTTTGTCAGTAACACATAACAGGAACTGAGAATCCATGCCTAAAGGGTCAAGGTGAGAGAAAAATAACACAAAAAAATGACTACCCAAAAGTTTGACAGAGACTGACGGTAGAATCAGTGCATGGAAAGTGTTAAAATACCACCATTTACATGGGTGGTATCACTGTACTCAGGAGATGTTGCTGAACACATATTAAAGTTCTCTGTACATGTATTCTTAAATTTCTATGTGTGTCAAAAAACTCACCAATTATTATTATTATTTTTTTTAATTTGGCATAGATTGGTGGTAAAATGGTTGCATTAAAAGATTCAAAATACCTTTAATACCTTAGGTTTAATACCTTAGGTTGTCTTTTTTTAAAAAAAATATATATACATGTGAAGGGTTATTCAGGGATTCCTGACAGATATCAGTGTTACAATGTAACTTGTGTTAATTTTGAAAAAACAAATAGCAAAGTTGTACTTTTACTTATAGCCATTTAACTTTCCAAAATAAAGCTAAGAACATGTTAACATTGGGCATTTCTAAACTCAGGACAAAATTTAGAAATTATTTAGCATGGGTGTTTTTTGGCAGTTGTAGATGCATAACAGGCTTGTCTCCACTGACAAGTGGACCAGGTGTGTAGACATCCACTTCAAGGTGGAGAATGTAGAAATTTGGACAATATAATGAATGAAATATATATATAAAAACAAAATAAATATAACTAGAATAAAAGTCCAGCAAAACAGCAGTGTACTCATGCAGTGAGGCAGGCGGCTGTTCTAATCAGACGTGGCAAGGGAGCTATGTTCTCCCAGCTCTGCTCCCTCATGGGTTGTCTACTGATGCCGGGAGACAGAATATGACGTCATATTCCGGTTCCTGGCATCAGCAAACGGCATGCAAGGGAGCAGAGCTGGGAGAACATAGCTCCCTCACCTCGTCTGATAGGTATCCATCAGGAGGCTCCCCATGACAGGGGGAACACGGGGGTGGGGGGGGCATTTGGGGGCGGCATTTTTTGGTTAGTGCCTGCAGGGGGAACAGCGTTCCTGCTGTGAAAAAAGTGCAGGAACGCTGTTCCCACGCATTCCTGCAGGACTTGAGCCCTGTATATTGGTAACAAAACAGACTTAGTATGACATTCTATATATATCTATCTATCTATATATAAAATAAAAATAACCACAAATAAATAAATATATATATATATATATATATATATATATATATATATATATGTAAATTCTACGTGTATATTTAAGTATTTTTTTAATATAATTATGTGATTTAATTAATTAAAATTTGATTGACGTGCCTGACAACCCAGGCAGAAAGTGCAGAGATAGAAAAGATGTAATAGGTGCTCGCTACAATATTAAATACAAGATGTTTGTAGGCAGCGGTAACTAATACAAGGATTCCCAGCCTTGTGGAAAGAGAGTGTCAAAGAAAAAAAGAGAAGGAAACCTCGCCCCAAGTAATAATTGAAAAATTGTATACGTACACAAAAACTTTTTAAATTTGCTAGAGCTGACTAGGAGCTCTGCCGTAGTTCGCATGGACGGAACAATCCCTGTCTAAGGATATATGTGGAAGCGAGTGTCTCCAATATTCCAACTTCAATGTGATGCGCAATAGTATAAAAAACATAAAAGAAGGCTCCAATAGTGAAGTATGTACTGGTAAAAAAAGAAAATTGAAAATAAAATATAGTACTCACATTTACTAGAGCTGAAACTTGCTCTAGTATTTTCCGCTTGGGTGGTATGATCCCCACCTGAGGATATGGTGACCAGGAAGTAAGATGATAAATAAAAAATAAATAGGTATGTATAACTTTAAAATACACTATTTATTTAACAAAATAATAAAACAAAGTAAGGTGGCTATTAAAAATTCCAACTTCCAAAATTCCAAGTGACGCGGCATTACTCCATGGGCACACCCTAATCCCTGCGGCACGCCTATTGATTCAGACCAGCAGGGGAGACATCAGGATCAAGCGCTGGCTCTGCTCTAAGCCTTCATGGGCCGGTGGGCAGATCAAAGATCTACCTCCCCGGCCCACAGCACCGGGTTTCTCTCATGAAATCTGAGCGTTGCGCTCACACCTCACGAGAGTGGACTCTAAACCACCAGGGATGGAAGCAGCATGGTCCCCCTACATAAGGTAAGAAGGGAGGGGAGATATTTACTAATCTGCCCCCACCTACACCCCTACAATCCCTTCAGCAAGCACACACATACAGCACACACACACATACTACACCCTCACACACACAGCACCCTCACACACACACACACACACACACACACACACACAGCACCCTCACACACACACACAGTACACTAACAGCACCCTCACACACAACACCCTCACACACAGCACACTAACAGCACCCTCACAAACACACACACACAGCACCCTTACACACACACAGCACACAAACAGCACACTCACTCACAAAAACATGACACTCACACACAGCACACAAACAGCACCCTCACACACATCACACAAACAGCACCCTCATACACACAGCACGCTCACATAGCACACTAACAGGACCCTGACAAACACACACAAACACCCTCACACACACACAGCACACTACCAGGACCTTCACACACATCACACAAACAGCACCCTCACACACAGCACACTAACAGCACCCTCACAAACACACACACATAAACACCCTCACCCACATAGCACTCTACCAGCACCCTCCATAAGGTAAGAAGGGAGGGGGGGATATTTACTAATCTGCCCCTACCTACACCCCTACAATCCCTTCAGCAAGCACACAAATACAGCACACACACACATACATCACCCTCACACACACACACACACAGCACCCTCACACACACAGTACACTAACAGCACCCTCACACACAGCACACTAACAGCACCCTCACAAACACACACACACAGCACCCTTACACACACACAGCACACAAACAGCACACTCACTCACAAACACACGACACCCACACACAGCACACAAACAGCACCCTCAAACACATCACACAAACAGCACCCTCACACACACAGCACCCTCACACAGCACACTAACAGGACCCTGACAAACACACACACACACACACAAACACCCTCACACAAACACAGCACACTACCAGCACACACTAAATAATATACACACACACTAAATAATACAAACACACACAGCAGGCAGACCTCCCTCCTCCCTTACTTACTTACTTACTTGAAGGCTGGCAGCACAGAG